AAGACGAGATGTCTGGACCCACCTGCAAAAGAATCCAAGACTGGCACGAACAGCGAAAAGAGGAGCACCATGCGAGAGAGTTTGCATTTCAGCATTGCGTTGCAGGCTTGACACTGTTTGCATCTTTTCCAGATCCAAAGCCACTTCCCTTGAAGGCGTTTATGATGGAATATTTGGGGACAGCACCACAAATGAGTAGCCTGAGCTTTACCTTTGCTTTGGAGATGCTCCATAAGGATTTCAAGAAGTACATGTATCCGCACGGCCATTAAGTCTGCAAAGACACCGAGCTGTATATATTTCTGACTTCAGTCACGACGAACTATAGTTTTGACTAATAGATCTAGGAGTATTTTGATTATTTTTCTTTTGAATACATATTCAGCACTAGAATTTGGCAAGAAGAACTAGCGATAATATAGCAGATAGCCAATCTAGTACAAGCCATCCCAGTCTTCTTCGTCGATTGTGATAGCAATTATCAAGATACCTCTCAGACTCCCTTTGCAGCTATCAAATGAAACATGGTATTCCCCGCTTGAAACATGGTATTCCCCGCTTGAAACAGGATAATCCCGTCAAACATGACACTCCTTTTTTTCAAACATGATATTCCCTTTTTTCAAAAACATGATATTCCCGTTTATCTCCCTGATATCAAATAAGACATCCTCCAAGACGAAAACATCGACAACAACATCAAGCGTCTCAAATCAACAAAATCAACAAAAATCAACAAAAACCAAAATACACTAAACTAGAGCTCTATTTAATAACGAATACTTATCTGTTCTAGGAGTAGCTTCGCTTATAATCTTGGTCTGCATATCCTCACAACTGCTGGTGCAACTTCGTGGCGAAAAGATGAGCGATTGGCACCACTCCTCCTTTTGCTATGAATGAATCCAACGAGACGATTTTTGTTGGCAGCGTTGAATAGAGGGCATTATGTTGATTCCTATGCAATTCATGTGGCATCCCAAGGCTGATTGTTGACAGTAGGGAACTGCATTTCCCTTGAAACGCATGGTGATTCTTCCAGAACCGCTTTACTCTGTAGATCATTTGCACGGTCGGAGAAGGAATATGCTGCTCTGCTTCACCAATAATGAAAATATGGTAGTATCACGCTAAGGGAGAAGGAAAAGCAGCGGCTCCGTCAGCAATCTATAATCCGCTTGAACATCAACCGTCTAAACATCATTTTGTTCTTGGTGTTTTCCAAAAAAAGTACGATTTTTCGGAGAAATGACTGAAGTCTGTTGGGCCTAAAGTATGATGGGTACGTAAATACCGTATCGTACTGGGTACGTCTGTTTCGGACCGTAAACGGAATCTTCCACTGACGAACCTAGAAAGGAAACTAGGGGAGGGAGGATCGTAAAAAATAATCTCGGATATACTTCCTCCCGTTTTTTGTAAGCTGGAGAATTCCTTTCTTATTTGGACGTCCTTGTTCGTCCGTCCCCCAAACAAATCCACTTTTGAGCCATCCCCTCTACCATTTCGAGTTCTCAAAATCCCCCCAAAGTGACTGTTGATATACAAGGAACCAAGTCAGATTCCTGTGAGTAGGATTCCGCTGTTCGTACTGGAAATCCCGTACTATTACTTGTACGTACCTTTTACCACGAAAATCTGTAGGGCCAAAAGTATGATGACTAAAATCTGTAGGGCCGGAAGTATGATCGATTTCCAAGTCTCATAAACGCTACAGCACTTCGAAGTCAGCAGAATATTTTGTGCTGAGTCGCAGCTCTAGATATTTGGAATGGATACACGCAGGGCACAGACAGAATGCAGGCTGATGGACCGATTCAACGTTGAGTTCGAGTGGTAGTGATGCAAATGCTGTTACTGTACCTGTCAGAATGAAATTTCGCAGATGTTTCGTTGGGAAGTTATAGTCCATATACAGTTCCCCACTATCAACAATCAGCCTCTTGGAATATATGTTGTTGATCTGAGACGCTTGGTGTTGCTAGCTTTTTTCACGATGGCCTCTCATGAAGATGACAAAGACGAGATGTCTGGACCCACCTGCAAAAGAATCCAAGACTGGCACGAACAGCGAAAAGAGGAGCACCATGCGAGAGAGTTTGCATTTCAGCATTGCGTTGCAGGCTTGACACTGTTTGCATCTTTTCCAGATCCAAAGCCACTTCCCTTGAAGGCGTTTATGATGGAATATTTGGGGACAGCACCACAAATGAGTAGCCTGAGCTTTACCTTTGCTTTGGAGATGCTCCATAAGGATTTCAAGAAGTACATGTATCCGCACGGCCATTAAGTCTGCAAAGACACCGAGCTGTATATATTTCTGACTTCAGTCACGACGAACTATAGTTTTGACTAATAGATCTAGGAGTATTTTGATTATTTTTCTTTTGAATACATATTCAGCACTAGAATTTGGCAAGAAGAACTAGCGATAATATAGCAGATAGCCAATCTAGTACAAGCCATCCCAGTCTTCTTCGTCGATTGTGATAGCAATTATCAAGATACCTCTCAGACTCCCTTTGCAGCTATCAAATGAAACATGGTATTCCCCGCTTGAAACATGGTATTCCCCGCTTGAAACAGGATAATCCCGTCAAACATGACACTCCTTTTTTTCAAACATGATATTCCCTTTTTTCAAAAACATGATATTCCCGTTTATCTCCCTGATATCAAATAAGACATCCTCCAAGACGAAAACATCGACAACAACATCAAGCGTCTCAAATCAACAAAATCAACAAAAATCAACAAAAACCAAAATACACTAAACTAGAGCTCTATTTAATAACGAATACTTATCTGTTCTAGGAGTAGCTTCGCTTATAATCTTGGTCTGCATATCCTCACAACTGCTGGTGCAACTTCGTGGCGAAAAGATGAGCGATTGGCACCACTCCTCCTTTTGCTATGAATGAATCCAACGAGACGATTTTTGTTGGCAGCGTTGAATAGAGGGCATTATGTTGATTCCTATGCAATTCATGTGGCATCCCAAGGCTGATTGTTGACAGTAGGGAACTGCATTTCCCTTGAAACGCATGGTGATTCTTCCAGAACCGCTTTACTCTGTAGATCATTTGCACGGTCGGAGAAGGAATATGCTGCTCTGCTTCACCAATAATGAAAATATGGTAGTATCACGCTAAGGGAGAAGGAAAAGCAGCGGCTCCGTCAGCAATCTATAATCCGCTTGAACATCAACCGTCTAAACATCATTTTGTTCTTGGTGTTTTCCAAAAAAAGTACGATTTTTCGGAGAAATGACTGAAGTCTGTTGGGCCTAAAGTATGATGGGTACGTAAATACCGTATCGTACTGGGTACGTCTGTTTCGGACCGTAAACGGAATCTTCCACTGACGAACCTAGAAAGGAAACTAGGGGAGGGAGGATCGTAAAAAATAATCTCGGATATACTTCCTCCCGTTTTTTGTAAGCTGGAGAATTCCTTTCTTATTTGGACGTCCTTGTTCGTCCGTCCCCCAAACAAATCCACTTTTGAGCCATCCCCAACTCGAAATGGTAGATTCTGAAGTTCCGCTTTCACCTGTTTTAGACTTAGTAAGTACTTGTTTGTCCGTCCCCCATAAAACCTACTTTTGAGCCATCCCCCTTCGTTGGTTGTAGTACCGGTACATGTACCTCTCTACCTACTTGAGTTTAGGGAGTCATCAAGAGGGTCATCAAGAACTTGGATCTGATCCGTGAAACAACGAAAGAGGATTTGTTGACTACCGTACCAATCAGCACCGATTACAGAACCATTTGTTAGCAACAGAAGCACTGCTAGGATCACGATGAAAGTCAACGAGAAAGAAATGCAAATGACCTTCAGCACATATGCCAAGGGAGGGTTGATTGCTGCAAAGGATTTCAACAAAGTTATCAGAGCTGTTGGCCTAAACCCCACAGAGGCAAGTGCGGCTGAGCTCAAGAAAAAATCTGGAGGGGGTGCCTGTGATTTTGATGCCTTCAAGAAAGTCGTTGTCCCGGAAATGGAGAAGGCGAAGGACAATGTTGACAAAATTATTGATTCCTTCAGTGTCTTTGACCAAGATGGGAGTGGTCTAATTCCTGTGACAGAATTCAGACATGTCTTGTGTACCATGGGAGAAGCATTGAGTCAAGAAGAAATGGCCGAGGTCATGTCTGAGGTTGAGCCAGCAGATGGAAAGATTGACTACAGAGAATTCTCCAACATGATTTTTGGAGACGAGTAAATGCAGACAGTGTGGGGAGGTTGAACCTCTTAAAAGTAAATTTAAGATACAGGACCCAAGAAACATACTTGATATTTCGATTAGAAGCCTATTCAACTGCTTCATTTGGGAATCTGTTTTTGTGCATCCAAAGTCGATGTTGCGTATTACTTCATGCAATGGCAGTATCATTGTCACCAAGAAGGTTCTAGGCTGCAGTTTATTGGGGATATTTCTATCTTTGGTACATCATCTGTTGAATACTTCGTTTCATTCACCTTGCAACTGATCGGACAAGATCCCTGCTGTTGGAAGTGATAGAAAGTTTTCTTTGACTTGTTTATTAGTCCCCTCCACCTTTTTGCAAGGAATACAAGCACAGATCTTGTCAACTAATAACCAAAAAATATTTAAAAGAACAAGCACAACAGCTTCTACCAGAACCCAATTGAAAATGGTCTTGTGGCTGTATTTGGCTCACCAGTGTGTTTTGAGTAAAAATGGAGGCAGCAGAGAGGGCTCCTGCTGGTGTAAGTGGCTTAAATCCACTCATGGCCATCATTCTCCAGTGCAATGCATTGGAGCGGACCTGATCTTTACGTGCTATTGTTTAGTCTCAAATGCTCATCAACATGAGCATCTAGTAGTGTGTCAATTTAGTTGCTAGGCATAGTAGAGACGGTGATTGATATAGCTAATAGGGGTGTATATACCGGGGTCTGAAGCAACAGTAAGTAGATGATGGATGATTGATGATTGATCTTGAGCTGAATATTGGCAAGACGACTGTGAGACAGCTAGGCAAATTTCTTCCAAACAATGAAGATCCAGATGCCCGGCTCTTTAGATGGCACAATGTGCGTGAAAAGGCCAGAAGCCCTGGAGATGGTTGATCTTGGCCTCATAGGCTTTGGAGTTCTGAGCGCTGTGATATCCCCATCTGCAAGGTTGTTGCTTAGAGGATGAGTAGTTGCCCCAATCATTGGAGAAAAAAGAGGCTGTAGTGTCTTTGACAGTAACGACTTTAGACTCAGCAAGAGCTTTTGCCTTCTCTGCCTGATCATAGTTGCACTTGATTGCCCAGAAAAGCCTGGGGTTGAGACCGCTCCAAAGTTCTTAGTTGTCACTAGGAAGAGAAGGCCGGGTATCCGGATGGGGCACTTGATGGCTTCTGACACATGAGTGAACACAATGGCCTGGTCCAGCTGACGGGCCACTGCCACTTTCACTGAAGCCGTGAAGGCCACACTGAGGAATCCTTTCATCCCCACATCTGAGACGGTGGCCTTGTGCTTTTGGGGGTTATAGAACTTGTCATCTGTTGTGCAGTATGATCCTCTTAATGCTCCAGCCGTATTCCCTTAATTGTCGGTTCCAATGGGTAAAAAGGACAAGGATATTGTGATTTTTATCACCACCCCATGTGGAGACCATGTGTTACAGGAGAACCCCTTGTCTTTTTCATGACAAGGAAATTGTCTTTTTGAGGAAAAGAACCTCATTTTTGGAAAGTTGACATTTGATTTTGTCGCAGAACCTTGGGATGCAAAGCCGTCTGACCATGATATTGATCTTCAATTTTTCATTCACAGGATTTGTCTTTTAAGGGCAATGTGCTTGTTGCTCTATTGGAAATTCATTGTCCTTTAAAACAGAGGTTCCTCTCCTTTGGAAGACTAGTGTATGACTCATGTATGGCATACAGGAGTCGTGAATGTATTCGCATTGTGTGGGACTCCAGAGAGGGCAAATGGAGGTTCCGCCGGACGCACCAACTTCTACCGGATCATCCATTACAAATACCTGGACTGACTGGCAAATTGGAAGCCTTACGCCGTCTGGAGCCGGATGAGGCAGAGAAAACCTTGGGGGTCATGTTGGCCCCATTGGAAGATCAACATGCCCACGTCGCCCACCTCAAGAGTATCGCCAAAAAGTGGGCTGAGCAAGTGCGATTGGGGCATCTACACAAATACGATGTCATTCCCCTTATCAAGACAACAGTGATGAAATCCCTGGAATATCCTATGGTGTTAACTACACTGGATGCTGCGACATGGGTGTCAATTATGAGTCCTGTTCTTCAAGTCTGCCTGCCGAAGGCCGGCATATGTAGGAGCTTTTCTTGTGACAGGGTCTGGGCATCCCCCATCCGTTTGGTACTCAGGTGTCTAAACATCTTGAGGTCCGGCTTTGCCACTTGTCCAACCGAACCAAAACTGGGGCGTATATGGAGGCTGCGGTTCAAGAACACCAACTTGAGACCGGCACCTCCTTTGGACTCTTCCAGCAGGACTATAGCAACACGGCAATTTTGGCGTCAGATACTTGGCTCAAACGAGTCTGGAAAGAGTTGGAGGACTTGGATATCTATGTTGCTCTTGACTCTCCTGTCCTCCCTCTCCGGTGCAAAGGCGATGCCTTGCTCATTGAGGTATTCATGGAGTTGGAAGTGGATCAGGACGCTCTAAAGTGGCTCAACTGGTGCCGTATGTTCCTCCAAGTTTGCACCGTCTCCGACATCGTGACGGCCAATGGCCGCAGCATACGAGAGTCCATGTGGCATGGGGAACGTGACTACGCTCATCGGTCGTCATATCAATGGCCTTGCACTGTCCGGCCTAACAGGAACCACTGGACGGTGTGGCAGGAACACTACACTACTTGTCTCTGACGGACCCCAGCGCCTACTGCGTCATCCTCTGGGCCCATGGATTGATCCTCTTGACAACTGGAACTGGTTATGGTCTTCTACCCATGGATTGTTCCACCGCCAGGGCCACGGGTGGCAACACTACCGTGACCGTCGCTCCTCCACACAAAGCATTCAATGGGACTTATCCCGTTCTACGCAATTGTCCAGGTGCAAACAACCACATAACGAGCATACCGACAACGGCGTCAGCTTCTTGCCAGCCCCCTTTTGGACCCAACCACTCCCAGCTGACTTGTGCCGAGCTACCGTCCACATTACGCCTTTGCTAGGCACTCTAGCCCTCACCAGCATTGGGACAGCACCGCTGCAGCCGCATCACGACTCTCAACCGTCTTTGCTAGCCGCCTGGATGGCCGCCTCGGCCAGGGTGACCGAGTATGTTGGCTGGACCCCTGAAGAAATTGAGATTGATGGCAACGAAAGCCTCCTTGCTGCAGCCCTACTTGAAGACCGGCTGTGTGTGATCAGCGACGGTTCTTATAAGCTCGGTCTGGGCATGGCAGTGGTTCAACTGCTTCCATGTAAGGGTGGCACAGAACGTATTATTGTTCGGTGCCAGACTCCAGGTCTAACTGGTGACCAGAGCGCGTACCGGAGTGAATTAATTGGCCTACTGGCCGGTATCATGGTTGTTGATTGGCTCCTGGACCAGTGGGCCCCAACACTTCGACCACCACCCCGCGTTAGGATTGCGTGCGATGGATTTTCGGCGTTGCTCAACACCTTTGGTGACAATCGAGTCACACCGCAACAAGCCCAGTTTGACCTGGTCTCCTCTATCCGGGAGGCACTTGCCCGCTCTAGGGCCTCGCGGGAACCTAGCCACGTGTACGGTCACCTTGATACGGCGACATCCTTTTCGTGCCTCTCTTGGTGGTCCAAACGGAATGTGGAAGTGGATGCGTGGGCGGTTGCCTATCGCCACCAGATCGAAGCTTCACACCGATTGATTGCACCTAACGCTCGTTTCTTTACCGAATTGGCTGCCCGGTCCAACGGCGTCCGCCTGACAGGTGGCGCCATCCGACCAGATATATCCTTTTGGTACCTGATTGACTTCAAGTGGAACCCCCAACTAGGTGTATGGCAATTCCGGAAGAAGTGAGATCTTAAATCGTCTCTTCTTCCAACAGGCAGTTCGGAAATTGCAGTTGAATTAGATGATCTGGATGGCACCTCTGTGCATCTAAAGTGGCTCAAAGCGGACGAATCGGCCAATACTTTGGGTTTTATGATGTCCCCCTGCTCCAACAGGACAGCCCAACTTGTGGTTATGCAAGGGAAAGCAAAGGCATGGGCGGACCAGATCCAACCTAGTTTCCTTCACTGCTATGATGTTCTTCCTCTCCTTTGCACCACAATCCAGAAGACTTTGGAGTACCCAATGGCGCTCACAATCTTCTCTCCACAGGAGTGGGACCAGATACTGTCCCCAGTGCTATGGGCGGCACTGCCAAGGCTGGTATCTGCCGCAACTTTCCTCGTGCTATGGTCTACACCCCCATTGCACTTCAAGGAGTGGGTGTCCCCCATTGGTACGGCCTCCAAGTCATCAAGCACTTAGACATGCTACTTCGCCATCCAGCCAACCAGACCAAAACGGGTGCCTTTGTGGAGGCAGTCCTTCAGACACATCAGCTTGAGACCGGTACCTCCTGTGGCCTCTTCCAACAAGTCTATTCCAACACCTCAATCCTGGTCTCTGATACGTGGGCCAAGCGGACCTGGAGGGAACTTGATTCTCTCTCCATACACCTGGAGTTTGATTCTCCCTCCCTCCAACCACTGCACCAAGGGAACCAACTGTTAGTGGACCTGTTCATTGACTCTTTGGTTGACCAACTTACATTGAAGTGGCTCAACTGGTGCCGGATCTTCCTCCACGCTGTCACTCTCTCCAATATTGTCAACGCTGAAGGGACAGCAATCACTCTGAACGCATGGAAAGGAATAAGAGCAGACTACCGTGCTGACCGGTATCAATGGCCCTGTACTGCTCGTCCGTCTAATCAGTGGTGAACTTATGCTGTACTGCTCCCTCTGCAGCTGCAGAATGGTCGAAACGCCATCTGGCCTTCCGGGCCTGGATGCAGACTCAGTAGACCGCCCCTGAGATCAAAGCCTTCCCCTTTGAATACCTGAAAACGGTCCATCAGCCTTCCTTGGGGGTCCCCACCGTCCGAGCCTGGTCTTGCCAGCCTCATCTCTTCCAAAGTGCAATCTCTTCCCAGGCCAAGCTTGGGGCCCAGGGCCTCCTTGAGGGCCTAGTGCCCCCAAATGGAGACATCTGCAGGCCCTTAACTTCTCCTGTATTGGCTCCAAGAAGTCCGCCAACCTTTGGGCCTCCCACCTGATCCAACAACTGATCCGGATCAGGCACTACATGTGGAAAGACCGCAACCGGCTTGCCCATTCTGAAGACAGCTCCTGGTACACAGCCCGCAAGCGGGAGATTGACATTGAACAGTTTGCCATGGGCCTGATTGATATCCCCCCATGCTCCCAGTACCTCTTTTATGACTCCCGCAAAACTGTCCTCAACAAATCACTCAAAGATTGTCAACATTGGCTGCGCCTTGTCTCCCGTGAGAGAGCGATCAACCGTTGCTCTCTAGCCAGGCAACGCCAGATGATCTTCAACCTGGCGCAACCCGCCAACCCGACATCGACTCGGCCACCTGGCGCAAGTCCATAAACCGTTAGATGTCTCGGCCATCTCTCTGCCCCTCTATGTTTCACTCTCCCTCTGTCGACCACAGGACTAGGGAACTGCAGTCTGTCACATAGATGGTCGTCATATTGTTCTAGAACACTGTGCCATTGGGACGCTCTCCAATTCCTTGGATCAATACACCCATGGCAGTAGGGCGCAAGAACATTTGGATTCCCACCTGCTACACAATCATGCCCACCATCACCTTCAGAAAACTCAAAAAACAAAATAAAAATACCCCACCTCAAGTGGCAAGATCGCCTCTACATGTGCAAGGGTGCAATGTGATATCCGATAGAGCAACTTCCTTGGGATTGGATGCCTCAAACTGGTTCAACAGTATTGGACTCACCTCCGTATGTTAAATGGCCATGACAGCCGTTAATGGCAATCTAGAAACTTGAGATAGTTTTATACAATTAATGCATCAGTTATATATGCAGGGAGAAAAGTGATGATCCATCACTTTTCTATGGAAATCCTATGATTCATTAGAGAACTGCTGACTTAGTTCTTTCCTACGCTAAATTAATGGCGTGTAGCTGTTTGCACACTGTGATGTGTGCGGCGCACAGGCTACACTTCAACCTGGGAATCCTAGTATAGGCCGAGTCACAAGTCCTGTTCTTATTAGAATTCTATCAAGATGGCCAAGACATCTGACTGTTTATGGACTTGTGATGGATGGCCAAGTCAGTGGTGGGTTGGCAGGTTGCGCCAGGTTGAAGATCATCTGGCGTTGCCTGGCTAGAGAGTGACGGTTGATTGCTCTCTCACAGGAGACAAGGCGCATAAAACTCAAAGATCAAAATATTTTTCCACACACTTCTCCAAAGTACCAGTCCTACGCATTTTGTAAGTACAGGAAAACAGTTGTTGTTGTTGAAACAGGAAATACAGTGAAGTCAACATGAAGGATAGCATCACCACCCCGCTGGAGAAGGATCCGAATTTGATCATGACTGTAGCTGACCAAGGTCAGGGAGGTCTCGAGGAAAAAACCCGATCAAATTTGACCACTCAATTGTCGATTGCTCTGACAAAGGATAGTCCCATCACGACTCCCAAGCGCAGCAGCAAGCAAAACCCTTCAAAAACAGCCAAGGATGGAGCAATGAAAGGTTGCTCGCTCTTTCCATCTGAAATTGCCCAAGGTCAGGATGGCCTCACGGTCAAAGCTCAATTGAACTCAACCACTCCTTTGCCGATCAATTTAACCAAAGATAATCCTGATCCCACGAATACCAAGAGCCAATGCAAGCAACCCCCTCCTTTCAAAACCGCCGAGGATGGCGCAGGGCAAGGACGGCCGCTTGTTGGCTACACCAAGAAACTCAAGGTGTCAAAGTTTTACAGGTTCTACAAGATGGCTTGGAGGTAGGAGGTTTTTGGGAATCAGGCATTTATCACCTGGTCCTCTTGCACCATGGAACACTATGGCCAGGAAATATCCAAATGCCCCGGCTGGTGGGCGGAAGCCAGTATGGACCAAGCCTCCAATGCTCAATCCTACGACAACATTGCTGCATTCATCCTGACTGACCTGAAGGCGTATGGCCCATCACTTGGCGGTTCTATGCCCCAGCTTTGGTCCAGCATGCAGAATCTGTTTTCACTTGGAGCCCTCGAAGATGCCAATGATGACAAAGGTTCCAGGGCTCTTTGCAAGTACTTTCTTTGTCTTGCGACATAGTGCCCACAGTTGTGTTTGATCTCGCAACGGCCCAACGCGTTGTCACTGCTGACAAAAAGTTGCTTTGCTTTTGGGGATTCTTGCTTGTGTTTGACCCAACATTGATTGTTCAACGCGCCGAGCTGTTGACTTGGATGTGGCTAGTGGCATCCAAATTCTTTGCTTGTCCTTGGACAGGCCCTGCTATCATTCCTCCCATTGTGGACAAATTTGAGCAACTAGAATGAGAGTCGAGAATAGCCAAAGCTCAGTCCAAGTCTAAGAAGCGCCTTGCATTGACGCCAGAGAACCCAAAAGGCGCCAAGGTACACGATGCGCGCCCGTCCCCCTCTGTCCCGATGCAAACCAAACTGACGCCACCAAAGGGTTGGTCCAACTCCTACTAATGAACTCCACCTTTGGATGCCACCACTATGCGCCAACAAGTGATCATGTCCAACGCCGTCCACATCATCGCTGGCACCCCAACAGGTACACAGGAAGCCATTGTTCCAGCTGAAGACGTCGTGGTCGCCAACACTCCGCGTGGGAGGACCAGTGAGGAAAATGAAGCCAAGGAAAGACAATAGTGCTCCGACCTACAGGGACACTGTTGCCTCTCTCCCCGCTCCCACAGTTCCTCTCACCACTGACAAACAATTGACGCGCAAACTCGCTGTCCATTGGAATACCTCTCCCTTTCAGCACATTACCATCTTCAACGTGTCTATCATCTTTGATTCACAGGGCGTCGGTTTGTCCAAGTTCAATCAAGTTTAGACCGCCTACAATGCCTTCCATAGTTTGCTTCCGGTATTTGGGGCGAGATCACTTCCAAGGTTGTCCTTCTACCCTTTGCTGACGGTCGATTCACCTGACATCAACTCTGGATCCGGAACTTGAAGAAGTTTGATGAAAAGGCCAAGGATTGTGGGCCCACCTGAAGATCTACCTCAAGTTTGATGGGAATCCGGTAGATGGCAGTCAGAACCCGCGTGGCCTGAGTCCTTTCCCGCATGGCTTCGATCACTGACTGAAGCTGTGGGCACGGGAGGGGCAGTGTCCATCCTAACCGTATTTGAGTCTTGCAGGTATTTGACCCAGTCTTCCCAGGTTTGTTGAGGATGTAAGGATTGCCGAAGTTGGGATTCCGGGCATGCTGACATCTGAAACAGTTGCCTGGTGCTTTTGGGTACCATGGAACTTGTCCTATATTGTCCAGTACTTCCCCCTTAATGCTATAGCAATATTCCCTTAATTGACAGTTTAATTGGGTAAAAAGGACAAGGA